CTGTGCTTTCCCAAAGCCTAGAAAGTAATCATAGTTCTGCCTCAACCCTGAGACTCTAATGCAGATTACTACCAAGTCCTCCCTCAGTGCCTTTCCCAGTCATCCCATCAGAGCAATGCAGGCTGGAGAAGGAGACTCCCTTAAGCCTAGCACTGAACTTTAATTGCTTTTTAGATTAAATAGCTTCCTCTTTTCCACTATGTCCATATTCTCATTTTTTTGTTTAAGGCCCACAATTTCTTACTAATTCCGAGTTCCACAGAATACATTAACTTGTACTTTCTTTTAAATTCTGGTACTCTAAAAAAGAATGGGAAAAAAAGTTTGATAAAATATAAACACATAGTTGGTCTCCAGTGTAAAATAAACAGCTTTTTTTTCTATCTTAATAGATCATATTCTTCACCTGAATAACTACTTGTTATTTTATGTACATGTTTATGTACATGTTTGTGTACATGTTTTTATGCTTTCGATATGAAGGATTAAACTTTGAGAAAATCAAATTTTAGGTGATGGATTTCATTGATTATAGTATAATTTATTTAAAATATATATTATGAACATTTCAAAAGTAACCTATTCATTTTAGTGATACATTTTAAGCATATCAAAATTTCATACTTACTATTGTAAAATACAATTGTTGAAATATACATTGCATCTTCTTTAATTTAGTATTTGGGTTAGTATTACCTCCATGTGACAAACCCTGGTAGAAACAATTTGAAAGGAATAAATGAATATTTGGGTTCATGGTATTAATCCCTCAGAGTGGGGAGAGACAGGTGGAAGACACTTACATGGTGATGGCCAGGAACCAGACGGAATGCTTGCTCTAATGGACTTCCTTCTTTTTCCCTTTATCCCATTTTAGGCCTCAGTTTATGGAATGGTATCAGCCACATTGAGGGCGAGTCTTTCCCACTTAGTTAACCCTCACTTGTAATGGTTTACAAGTTTCCTAGGCACTTCCCATTTCAGTCAGGTTGACAAGATTAGTCATCTCATGTCACCACTTCTCAAATGGACCGCCAAAGCATATCTCCTTAAATCATCTCCTTCTACAGTAGATCCTCCAAATGCCTTGTCTGAGAGTCTCTGTAGTCTTACAGTTCCAACGCTATCCAAGAGTTCAAAACCAGCTCCTCTGACACTTGGCCATGGAGTGAGCAGCAGTGTTGTGCTGCAAACTGCCACCCTCATGATATCATAAGCACATAGATCTGAAAGACTACCAAGTGTATCCTCCAAAATGTTCAGCCTCAGTAAGACTTTCCTCCCTTCCATTGTTCTGCCAGATATTTGCTCACAGCAGTGTGGAAGTCACTAAAGCAAGGGACCAGTGTGTACCACATTTTAACTCTATGGCCGTTTTAAGGACCGTATCTTCAAACACCGTCACAGCCCAGAGACTGGGGCTTAACACCTCTCAGCACAGGATCTAGGAGGGTTGTGGCCCTCATGCCAACATCAGTGGAATGTCCCTCCTGATCCCCTATGGCCCAAGTCATTTTGAGTTCTGATAATTTATGACAATTCTAGCATACTTATGTCAAGTTCAGACAAAAGAAAAGGTTGAGAGAAATAATATAACTCTAAGTTGGAACCAAAAGTAAAGTTTTTAAAAGTGGAAGTATCTTTTAAAAGGATACTATTTAAAAGAGCTAAAGAAACAATGGGAATACTGGCCTTATTTAGCAGTTTTTTTTTTAAGTTGCCATTTGAAATGATAATATTTTTAGAGATATTTATTTCCCCAGGAATGTCACCGGTATTTAGGGACTATCTACATCATGTTCAGTTCGAAAGAATACAGAGCACTGTGAAGAATACAAACAAGTGTGAGGGAGGGAGCCTAACTCTCAGGAGCTTCATCACTTTATGAAGTCAACATCGGTGCACGTGAAACAAAGGAAGAAAGCAACTTTGAACTACATAGATTCAGGTTCTGTCCACAGAGGTCTTAAGTAAGGGGCAGCCTTTATGCACATGGAAGTAAGCGTGTCACTGGAGAATAAGCACACCTAGTTATGTGCTGGCACATGTGTGGAAACACACAAGTGTGGCTCATTTTCTTTGTAGCACTTGTAAAGATCTGCACTTACCTTTCTATAAATTTGCACATTTCATTCTTTTCTCTCAAGTTACAGGGTCTTATCATGCTTGCTTTGCCTTTTGTTACTGTCCTGGCACTTTAGGACTAGTAGGTGTCCACATTAGTTTGTCACATGTTATTAATTACACAATATTATAGACTAAACAAGTTTTAATAAAACGAAATTTATAAGAGCTCACAGGTCTATAAGCCTAGTGTTGAGGGGGCTTACCTGGTGACAGCCTTACTGACAGGATCTCACAGTGCTGTAAAGCATCAAGTGGCAAGAGAGGCAGGGACACACATGGATTGTATCTCTCTGTCTCCTTAAACCTTAAATGAGGATTCAGCCAAGGGGTTTTCATTCCAATGACCTGTTTCATCTCAGTCACTCCCAAAGGTCTGAGCAATAAGTTTGGTTTGTGTCTTCCTGTTATACCTCATGATGGAGATTCTATTTCGTCACAGGACGCCTCGAGGGTCACACCTCAATCGATACTCATACCACACTGACACTCACTATTGCTTAAATAAATGAGTGAATATCATGAGGTAATAAAACTGGAGAACTGGAAAGAAATTTCAGGTGGTTGAATAAATTCATTTTGGAAATGAAAGACAATTTTGAACTTGAAGCACTATTAGGATTTTTGAAGCTAATTGAGCAGGATTTAGGAACAGTGAAGGATATTATATAAATATATATATTCATTTTTAATTTAATTACTGTGTTTGGGTATGTGATTTGCATGTGTGGGTATGGGCATGTGTGTGTAGGTCAGAGATGAAGATTCAGAACTCTCAAGAATTTGTTCTCTCTTTCCACTGCGGCAATCTTCAGATAAAACTCAGGTTTTCAGGTTTGTACAGCAAGTGCTTTTGCCTGCTGAGCCATCTTGCTGCCCAAAGGTATGTTTTTAAAGGACTTCAGCACCTTGAAAGTTTTTTCCAGGATACACCTGGTTTATTTAACACTGGTAAGATGCCTGCTGTACAAATCCTAATGGTCCTTTTTAGCTGTGGATGCCCTGGACATAGCCTCCAAGGCTGCAGTTCTTTATATTCAACCCTTTTCCCATTTACTTACCAGGCCTGCACTAGGCCACTGGAATTTGGTTGCCCCTCATAACTTTGTGTGTTTGTACTATTCTCACCCCTCCACCCCCACACACATGCACAGATGTCACAAGGCCATCTCCACTCTTCAAGAGGTCACAGAACTATATGTGGGCAATTTTTATTGTTGTAAGTAAAAATTAGTTCCCTCTAAAGAGGAAGAAAGGGGAAAAGAATGGCTGCTGGCTATACCAGAGTGTCTGCCCCAGGTGGCTGCTTTCTAGTTGTCACAGAAAGATGTAAACAGGGGACTGGAGAGATGACTCAGCACTTCAGAGTACTTGCTACTTTTACAGAGGACCTGGGTTCAGTTCCCAGTACCCATATGGTGGTTTACAACTATCTATAACTCCAGTTCCAGGGGATCAGACACCATCTTTTGGTCTCTTCAGACACTAGACATACACAAGCTATACACACATACATACATACATAAGACAAACACTCATATATACAAAATAGAAATTTTAAAGTTAAAAAAAATTTTAATGTAACCAAAAAGAAAAAAAAATGCTTGCCTGCAGTTCTCACTGTTTCCAGGCTGGTCACGAGCCTAAGATTCTCCTGCCTTTACCTTCTGAATGCTAAGAATACCAGTGTGCCTGGCCAGATACAAAGCTTGCGTTGTCTTTCCATAAAAACTTAGTAAAGTGGGCAGGTTTTTTGGTTGTTTTGTTTTGTTTTGTTTTCAGACAGGGTCTCCCTGTAGACACAGCTGGCCTAGAACTTGCTTTGTAGAACAGGCTGGCCTCAATCTCAGAGATCCACCTGCCTCTGTCTCCTAAGTGTTGGGATGAAATCTATTTGGGCTATTTTGAAAACAAAACTACCACTCTTTATTTTTTTCTTGAATGCCAAAATATGCTCTCACTTTCAGAGAAGCCAACCCACTAGGCTCTGACACCGACAACTTACTTAGATTCCTTTTAGTATTTCTAGACTATACTCACAAGTTTTAATAGTCTTATGAATTCTATTATGTCTGAACTAATATAAATGCAAACAAAAGCTCTGTTGGCGACAGCAGTATGTCCTAATCTAACCCTCCTCTCTCTGTCTCTCTCCTTCATGGCTCTCTGTGTTTCTGGTGTCAACTAAATGTCCTAGAGGACATTAACTTGTCAACTTTAGATAGCCTGCATTCATTTCTCCATATGAAAGATAAATTTCTATTCAAATTATTATTTTTCTGTACATTCAAAACTTCATACTTATATTATTTTTGTTCCTTTATTAATTATATATATGTATATTTGAATTTTTGAGACAGGGTCTTATTCTGTAGCTGGCCTGGAATCCAAGGCATAGCTGAGGCTAGCTCTGAATTTATGGCAATCCTCCTGCCCTAACCTCCCAAGAGTTGGGATTACATGCATAAATCACTAACCCTGCTCTTAGTTTTATCTGCTGTTCTTTTATAATTTTTATTTTATTAATTTTTATGTGTATGAGTGTATTGCCTGCATGTATGTGAGCTCACCCATGTCCTGCAATGCCTGCGGAGGTCAGAAGAGGGCATCAGAAGAGGGCTGTACAAACTGAACTCCATCACTGGCCTGAATATTCCTTGATAAAAAAGAAAAGTTAAAGCAAACATGTTTAATTGGAGAAGGAGGCAGAAAATTTGAATGCAAGCCATTCTGGTTTTAAGAGCAAAAGCAATTTCAATGTTTCCCTTGGAGAAGTTTGAAATATAAAAGAAATCAGAAAGTATATATTTATTAGCTTTTTATATTAATAAATTGACCATATTCTACATTGAAAAAAAAATCTTTCTTCTTTACAGATAAGAAACTTTGGTGGGCAGATCAAAACTTAGCTCAGTTGGGAACCTGTAACAAAAGAGATGGAAGAAACCCCACCATCCTGCGAAATAAGACCTCGGGAGTTGTTCACATGAAAGTGTATGATAAAGAAGCACAGCAAGGTAAGCCCCACTCTGGTAAATTCCCGTCACTGTTTAAACATATGAAATTCTCTTTTTTTCACACTGCTTTTCAATTAAACAATGGGTGGTTCCTATTCTAGCTTTTAATAAAAATGGGAAAAAAGAGAAATGTTACCTAATAGTATAGAAGAAATGTCTTTAACCTAAGATGCATACTGACTTTCAAAACATTAGCAAAGCTGATGTGAGAATCTTAATTTTTCACTTCTTTGAAGTTTTAACGAGTACTTGACTTAGAAAACATAGTCCATGAAAATTTATAGACTATATAATTAAGTCCAGAACTGAAGTCTACAGATCATGCTGACACAAGAAATCCACATCTGAATGCACAGAACTGTTTGGCTCTGAGAATTTGCGTTTTTGTTTTGCTTGTCCAAATGGTGTGGAGTGAATGAAATGGAGTGAGAATTAGCAGATGGTTTACATAGGTGGACTTGTCACAGTGCCCACATGGCGCTTGGATTAGAGATGCCAGCCAGCGACACTCCACACCTGCTAGGCCATTTCTTAGTTTTTGCTGCATGATCCATGACACTAGCGAAAAACTTCTGAAAAAAATCTTTTCTACCAAGGACTTCCTTATTTTAACCACTGCCATGAATATCTCCACATTCTTTACTTAGAATATTTTTCCAAAAAAATTGAGAGGACTAGAGAGATGGCTAGGCGATTAAGAGTACTGGCTGCTCATGCAGAAGACCTGGCTTGATTTTCCAGCACCAACATGGTGGCTAACCATCCATAGCTCCAGTTCCAGGGAATGAGACGCATTCTTCTGACCTCTGTAGGCATTGCATGACATAGGAGCATTTACATACATGCAAGCAATACATTCATACAGATAAAATAAAAATAACTAAAATAATTGTTTAAAATTTGGACATTGAAAAGGGATTTCCTCTGAATGATTGGGGGTTATATAGACAAAATCAAAGAAGAGTGCAGGAGACTATCGAAACAAATGCACATCATTTTAGACTGAGGAGCCAGCCATCAGGCAGGCAGGACTTGTAGTGATTCCAATTTTAAGTCCCCTGAACAAGAAGAAACACAGTAGAGAAGTGGGTGGTGTGTGCCTGCCATTTCAAGGAATGAAACTTACAGCAAGTAGTATCCTTACTTCTGGTGTCAAATTTCTTTTTCAAGAAAAAAAAAGAGAATCATTTTTTAAAATTTAACCTTATAGTTTAGAAATTATTGGAAATTGTGTTCTAATCCCAAGTCAAAATTATTAGGATGATTTTTCAGCATCAATGATTATAAAATCAAAATGTCAATAGATTCTGGAAAGACTTGAAGAGGCTCTATATGGACTGTGTCCTGTGGATCAGCTATTCAGCCAATGATCAATCTTTATAGAGAAATGAACAGGCATAGTCAGCTCAGTCACAGGCAAATTTACTTTGGTTTTTAATAAGTGATGTGATATGATATCAGATAATTGTTCAAAAATACATGTCTTAGTGGACATGGTGGGTGGCACACGCCTTTAATCCCAGCACTCAGGAGGCAGAGGCAGGTGGATCTCTAGGAGATGGAGGCCAACCTGCATACTAAGTTCCAGGGGAGCTGTCTCAAAAAACAAAACAAAACTAAACTAAACAAAAATGAAATAAGTATCTTTATGGTTCATTATCAGTTAAAATATTAATCTGAGATGATTACAGCTCATTTTTATTGCCAAAAAGACATTAATTCGCAGAGTATTGTGAACAAATCTATATTGCTTTCAGAACATGTCATTATTTTTTTTTTAGTATATCCATTGAACATAGTGATGAGTTTCCTAAGACGTTTTCATTCCAGCGTAAGGTGGAGTTTGACCGTTTTCACCCTCCTTATGTCACCATTCCCCTTTCCCTTCTCTCACTTGTCCCCTTCCTTCTTCCAACCACACTGCCCCTTTCATCTGTGCATGTGTGTGGTGTGGTGTGGTGTGGTGTGTGTGTGTGTGAATGAGTTTGTGTATCTACATGAAATACAGAACCCCCCACCCCCAATAAGGGAAATCATGGGTGACATTTTTCTCCCTAATTCTGGCTTTGCCTACTACTGCGACTTCTCTAGTTGTATTGTTTTCTTTTTTTATAGGAGCATTACAAGTTTTTACACTTAACAAAACATCTACATTAAAAATATATGAAATTGTCTTAATACATTTTATGTACTCTCAGTGCATTATTGTATTTTACATAGAATAATCTTCATGACTTAAATTCTAATACATTTCTATTTATTTATTATATTTCCCTACATGATTTCACTCTACAGCTGAATAAGATTTCATTCTGTTTGTATATGTGTGTGTGTATGTGTACTTTTTTTTGATTCACTCATCTGTTAATGAATACCTAGGCTGATTCCATAACTTAACTGTTGCAAATAATCCTGCAATAAACATAGATGTGCAAGTATTTCTGTGGTACGCTAACTTAGAGTCACTAAGGAAAATATTCAGGGGTTCTGTAGCTCAGTCATATGGCAGTTATGTTTCAAGTTTTGTTGTGGAGCTGATTTCCGTAATAGCTGAATTAATTTACGTTTCCACCCTCAGTGTGTATAAGGATTCCTTAGCCCCATCCTCACTTGCATATGCTATTTGTTTCCTTAATGACCGCCATTCTGACTGAAGTAAAGAATCATTGTAATTTTAATTTGCATTTCCCTAATGACTGAGGATGTTTAACATTTGTTTCCAAATTTTTATTCACCAATTATTTACTTATTTGAAAAATATCTGTTCGTTTTATTAAACAATTTATTTACTTGGATTTCGATGTTTTATGTTTAGTTTTTTGGATCCTGGGCAACTTCTAAAGAACTGTCTATAATAACAAAGGAGTATTCTTCACTAGTGATTTAACAAAGTAATATATTCTGTGTCAAAATAAATAATTTCGGCTGGGAGTGTAGCTCAACAGTAGAATGTTTGCTTAGCATGTATTAGACTTGTGTTTGAGTCTTAGCATAAGAAAACATAATAAATTAATAAAAGAAAAATCAATTTGTCAGAATTCCTCATGTAGATTATACTCCATAGTTTATAATAAAGTACTGATGGTAGCTAAAAACATTACGGCATTTTCATTTATTTTTAAAGTAAATTTATTTGTTAGCTATTAAAGCTTAAAATACTATACATATTATTGCAAAGTGCACATAGTCTATATTTCAGAAATTGTATCTAAACACAACCTCAGGAAATATAAGACATAGATAAACAAAGGAAGGGGAAGAGGACAGAGAATGAATTTCCAACTCAAAACCAGGCACCTCCAAAATATGTGTTACCTTTCAAAATGTGAACAGCACATACTTCGAAACTACAAATGAACATACCAATTTTTCTAGACATCATTACAATGAAGTTTCTGGGAGGATATATTTAGTCTATTACTGTTCAGTCTGCCCTTGTTAAGAATATCTTCCTTTCCTGAAAGATTTTATCATACAGGTGCAGATGGGTGATATATGCACTGTAAAAGTATTATCTGAGGAGCGGCTTTAACACTTAGAATCAGTGATATGATAACACTAAACTCAAAATGCAGTGAAAATGTCATTTTTACTGGAAGATGCTGATAAAAGCATCTGTTGGAAAGACAGCCCTATTAACAGAATCACTATCAGTAGCTTAAAAGCTTCATTAGTATGAAATATGAGCAATTTAGGACTCTTTAAGGTGTTAAAATTACTACCTCCTTGAATTTCAAAGTACAATTAACTACCTCATTTATCATTTTTGACACAGATCACTGGAGAGTTGAGACTGTTGTTAGCTCCACTGGTTATTTGAGGTGTGAGTTGTGGACATTGGTATCATTAGTAAATATTAGTCCAAACTAGTACTTATAACTTGATAATTGCTACCAGTTATCACTTTAAAAATCACTATAATCATTCTCCATTTTCATCTGTATTTACTAGGGGAAAACTTATCATAGGCAAGATTAGTTTCATCATTAGCTTTATATTTTCTCTCCTCTGAGGTTATATGTAAAATGTACATTGTTAGTATACAAGTGTGTTAAGATACAGGAATTTTAGTTATCAACAATTAAATATAATAAAATCCATTGCTAATATCTACAATATTGTATTACAAACTCTGTTGTCCCAGCTCTGTTTTCTACCTTTGCCCCATACTCTTGCTAATGTTAAGAATGTATAATCTCTCATATTCTCTTACTTTTGAGAAATCATTCTCTTCTTTGACCTATTTTTTAATTCTTCATTGCCCTTACTTCTCCTCTCCATATGACATTTCCTCAAGCTTTATACCTAAACTTCATTTGTGATTTCTTCTAGGCTTCAGACTCTAGTGATAGTTGAGGCAAACTCCGTCCATTGCACATCTCTATGCACTGGCATTACGTTAATATGTATCCACATGCTTTTTATAGAGTGATAACCATACATGGTCAGTTTAGAATTACTGCACACTGACTAACACAGTTGTCTTCTTGTTATAATATCAGACATCTGAAATACCAAGTGAGATAAAGGGGAATGAGTCCATAAGTTTTCATTAACTTACGTAAGAGACAAATGGAATCATTTCAAAGGTCCAGTTACCCATGAGAGATTCAGCAGAGAATGTATGAAGATTCTTGATAAGAAAGTTCCCAAATTGAGACTGTCTCACACTTCAAAATGACAGCGCTAGTTGTAGCTTCTGTTGAGCAATGAATCCCATCCGACTGTCCTCATTCAGAGGATGAGAAATAATGAGGTTCAGTGACATTTTGGATCTCACGGAGCTCTGTTGATACACAACTCCCAGCTTCCTTGTAACGCTTTCTGTATTTATTGCACTTTGTGGCAGAGCTGAACATCCTGTAAATGGCATTGCGTGTCCTAGAATAATAAAAGTGTTGTAAAGATAGGATATTTAATGAACTTGCAGGGTAAGACTGTAAATTACTTAACTTCATGCTACCAGATTTAATTAGCACATTGGGCCTAGTAAATTCAAAAGAACATCTTTATGGAATGTCTACCGTGATTACCCGACTAATATTTGTCATAACTGCTGTATAGGAAGGAGAGTTAATATGCCAATTAATTAGATGACTCTTATGGGTGTGTTCTTAATGTATTTTGGGTGAATTATGTTCCTTGGGAAGGAGAGCTACATATATATGCATAGTTCCTTTTTTCATGGTATAATCTTGGAGTTAATAATGTAACCACTATTGATATGATATATTCTGCTAAAATATTCTTCTGGTGAAAACAATTGTAGAAATGAAGGGACGTTTGAGAGTCAAAAAAGAAAATATTTCCAAATTTCTGTCATCTTAAAATATTTCAAAGGTCAATGACAACAGAGCAAGGCATCACATGCCTGTAACATCATCACTCCAGAGACTAGGGAGGACGCCACAAGATGCTGTCTCAAAAACTGAAAAGCAGACAGACCTAGAAATGAAAAATTGTTTAAGGCACTTTTCATGACAAATCAATTTCATTTTGCATCTCTGTATGGCCTTGCAGTTCTGTTTACTTGTTTTAAAGGGAAAAATTCAACCATAATCTGCTACTTTAAATTATTTGAAGGAATAATATTGTATATCCAATATGAAACAGCTTCACTGAGAAACTAATGCTTGAGGATTTTTTCCCATTATTGATATTTAATAAGTCTCAGATGTTCTTCAAGATTTTCTTTTAGCATTTGCTTTGTTTTACTTCTCTGCAGGCAGCAATTCCTGTCATCTAAATAATGGCGGGTGCTCTCAGCTCTGTTTACCAACATCAGAAACTACAAGGACTTGCATGTGTACAGTGGGCTATCACCTCCAAAAGAATCGCATGTCCTGCCAAGGTACATATCTTCAAAAGCTTCAACTCTGCTGTGTTTCCTGAATCCATCGATTTATGTCATGCAGATTTTAGACTATCTAAGTCAGTTAAAACTTGGGAAGACAGGGGCTGGAGAGATGGCTCAGCAGTTAAGAACACTGTTCTTGCAGAAGACCTGCGTTCGAATCCCAGCACCCACATGGCAGCTAACAAGTGTCCTTAACTACAGTTCCAGGGGATCCGATGGCCTCTTCTGTCTTCCGAGGGCATTGCACGACATGGGTGCACTTACCTACATGCAGGCAATACATGCATACACATAAAAAATAAATAAATAAATAATTAAAATATTTAAAAAAACTTCGGAAAACATCTTGTTAAGTGCAACGACATGCTACTTAGATTTGGACATTTAATGTATTGCAAACATTTGAAATAGGAGTGTTCTTCCCTTCGAGACTTCTAATTTTTATTGCAGTTATTTATTTATTTCATTTGGGAGATAACAGATGCCACAGCATGTGTGTGAATGTCAAAGAACAGCTTGCCAGCCGGGTGCAATGGTGTCCTCCTTTGCCCCTAAGATATAGGAGGCAGAGGGAAGGGGAATCTCTGTGAGATTGAAGACAGTCAGCTTTACATAGCAAGTTCCAAGACCCTGACTGAAAAAAAGGACACCATTTGGGACGAGAAGTCAGCTCTCTCTCTCCTTCCACCACGTGTGGGTCCTGGGACTTGAACTCAGGTTGTCAGGATTTTTAGTAAGCACCTGCGCCCACTGAGTCATCTCTCCAGGCCAAGAGCTCCTAGTTTGTAAAAACTATTTCACCAACTTTTAAAAAATCAAGTCTTCAATCTAGTAGTTTCTAAATTCAACTTTATAGGCAAGTCTTCAATCTGGTAGTTTCTAAATTCAACTTGAATAGGCAAAAACACTGGTGTTTACATGGGATTAATGTGCAGTTTGAATTTAGCTATGCTTACTTTCACCCGTTTAGATGAAATATCATAGGGAATTGAAGCTTCAGGTTTGGGGAACTGAGGGACAAAAGAAGTTCTGGAAAAGATCTGCATCCCCAAGAAATCCATGCCCTTTCTAGTTCCATGGTCTTTGGTTTTATTAGTTCACAAATCTTTGGTTCTTATGCTGTCTTGTACATCCGGTGATGGGAACTCAGTGCTATCTTAGAGTATGTCCCAATCTTACTTGAGAAAAATATGACAGTTATTACTTATTTCATTTTGAATAGAGTGTTTAAATGTTATAGTGTTTAAATGTTATACACTGTTTCAAGGACCCTAACACACATTGATTCATTTCATCCTTATGGATTTGAAAGACTGATATGTTTTTCCATTTTATAGATCACAAAAAATGAGTCACAGAGAAATTAAATAAACTTCCCAATTTATATGACTTGAAGATAGTGGACACATTTAAATATAAAAGTGGGCATGTATATTATTTAATAAGAAAATGTGTATTAAAATGTTTTTCCAATATATTAGCAAAATTCATAAGCATTAGCATGCAAACTTCTGGTAGAAAGCTTATGTGCTTATTTTAGAACCCTGTTTTGATCTTTGAAAATAACATATTAATGACAAAAAATATTTACTTAGCCCATTTGAATTCAAAGAATTTAAAAACTGGGCTGCCCCTTAAGGTAGTTAAATGTCTACTGCAAAAAAAAAAAAAAAAACAGTAATGCAGGCTTGTAAATCATGGGTATCATACATCAGCAAAGATGTGCTTGCATGTCAGAAAAGAGAATGCACTTTGTGAGGCCAGATATGTAGAAATGCCACACCTCACAGCTGATGCAGATGACCTTCTCATACTGAGAACATGATCACCCATAGAGAACTTTTCAGTTCAACCTCATCTAACTCCCAGGATGTGACCAGTGGTCTGCCAACAGACCCTTCAGGAGAGCATGATGCACACTTCAGTTTCAGAACCTTGATCTACCTGCCTTTCAAGCGTGGGTATTGTGCAACCAAATTGATAAATCTTATGAATCCAAGACCTATATGGTTGAAAATGATACTAATGAATTTTTATGTGAAATACTTACTTGAAACATTCTTTCTCCACTTAGGCATAGAATCTTTTCTTATGTATTCTGTTCACGAAGGAATCCGAGGGATACCTCTTGAACCAAGTGACAAAATGGATGCTTTGATGCCTATATCAGGAACTTCATTTGCTGTGGGGGTAGACTTTCATGCAGGTAAATAACTTCATTCATGATTTATGTATAATGCTCTCTTGATTTATGAGACATAATGACACTATACCTTTCAATCTTTGCTTGCGTAGTGAAGATAGAATCAAATTAAGAAAACAGGTTAAAGATGAATTTTTCAGCCTGTCACAAATTGCTCTAGTTATGTCTGAAAAAGAATAAAGTAAAATTTTCCTAAAGTATAAAATTTGAATTCCAAGTACACTTATATGCCATGATTGGCAATTGGTTGTTTTATTTTTATTTATCTGTTTGTCAAATGAAGCTTTCTTTCTTACTAATTATAAACATGAAATATCTAAAATAGAACTTTCTGATCTATTGAAGACTAAAAGTATTATCATATGAAAAACTTTCCGGGAAAAATAGTCAATGATAAGACACTGAAATGATTTGTAATTGAGTATGTGTCATTTTAGAAGCAGAGTTATCTTGATTTCTTATGCTTTAGCAAACAGTGAAAGAAAATAATCCAGGAACCAACAGTTTGTGTAGGTAGTGTGAACAGATGATCTGGAATTAATGATAACCCTTCCGAATACTGAAATAAACAAGTTAGGGGTGCAGATGATTGCTAAAATCAGACAAAGGATGAACATTAAATATGCTTCTCTCATCTCATTCAGAATTTCTAGCTTATACTCTACACTTGAGAACTTAAAAGTCTGAATATGAATATGTGTACCTCTCTTCTTAGCTAAGTTCTGTGTTCCTCAGTTTACATGCTGCATGCATGTTGAACATGCTCATGCACATTCCCACTCTTTATGCACTGTAAAATTTTAAGTTAATCTGACATTAAAAAGCTAATAGCTTTTTGTTTATACTATTAAAATAAGGAACCCTTAAAATGTTAAAAAATATCTTTACTTATCAGTATATGGGCTTTTGCTAATAAAGTTTCTTTTGTTCCTTAGTTCTAACATATTTGTTTGATTGTAAGTTAATGAAGTTTTTGTCTCACATTGATGAACTATTGAGAATCTTCAGAAATGGTTTAAATGTAACCTTTCTTAGGTAAGTTATCTTACACCAAATGTTTGACATTACACAAAAGCAAATTTCCTACATTTTTATAAAAGGTTTTCCCCAAATGAAATTTCAGCAAGGAATGTTTATTAAGCATTATGGTAATTTTGCCAAATTCATATTATAATTTTTTCACCAACCATGTATCAAACTACTTTATTGTGTGTGAAAACTTAATCATGTAAAAATGTATAATCTGCCCTTTTATAAACATGCACTTTAGTCCTTAAAACTTTTATCATATCTGATTTATTGAGCACAAAACTAAGAAAATTTGAACTTAAGAAAGCTTTCCCACACAAACATGTTTTCTTAGTATAAGATTGCTTATTTTAGCTGCTATCACATTTTTTATTGTTTTAAAGACTTCATAGTGATTTTCTTTGAAAATATATGATAAATTTCCATGAGACGAAAGGTTAAAAGTAATTTAATAGTAAAATTCAGATTATATCAATTATAAATCTGTTTCTTAAGAGTAAACTAAGTATTTGTGTCTGTTAAATTCACCTTTTTGGTTTTCATATTGGCCCTTAAAAAATTAAATTCAATATCATATACTATGAAAAAGTATAATTTACTTTATAGATAATAATAATCTACTGGTTTCAAAACAGCCAATAATTCTTAATGTCCTAATCTTATTTCATGCCTAAGTATATTTTTAGCAAGAGAAATTATTAGTTTAGTTATAATACTGTGTCCTTCATATTATTCCTACTGAATATTTTAAATAACATTTTTATTTATTCTTTGAAAATTTCATTTATTTTTATAATATGTTTTGATCATTTCCATCTGCTGCTATCTCCCTTCAGCCCCCCCCCAGTTATTCCCACTTGTCACCCTGAGATGCTCATCTTTTATGCTCTTGTTATTAATAACCCTCTGAATCCAATTAGTGTTGCCCATATGTGCACAAGTGTAGGGCTATCCTCTAGGAAATGGGCAACCTACCACCAACCAGGTTACCAAAGGAGAGTGACTCTCCCTCCCTCAGAAGCCATCAACTGCTAATAACTCCTCTTTAAAGGGACTGACCTATAAAGCACAGTGTTTGAGTATCTGTTATTACTGCTACTCTAAGAAGAAAGGACCAGTGGATATTTGCTTGGTAACTGCAGGAATTTCCTTTATAACTCATCGACCATTAGTGCGATAAGCATTAGACATGACTAGCCATTTAATGCATGTCTCACATTGACCCAGTTAGAAAAAGTGATGTTTTTGTTAAATTTGTTTTGTAATCTGAAATTTTCCCTTTTTCTTCTCTTTAAATTTTTATCAAATAATTACTATATTGCTGTATAATATGTAAATTGTATTGCTGTCCATAAAATAACATATGTTTTTTTACAAAAAGAAACTGGGAGTCAAAGATAAGTAAACCAATAGTGAGAAGGGCCCAAGGTCCAGCAATAGAAACCTTGGCTGCAAGTCATCTAATTTTTTTGAATCTCGGTTTCTATATGTCTGCATGTGCAGAAATATTTAGATAGTACGTGCAAACATTTGACATAATATCTGATAACATATGGTACTCAAAAATTTGTAACCATATCAAATAAATGATATATAAGTTATCTCATATAAAATAATCAGCAAAAATTTTGTGGTTGTTTTGTCATGACGCCATCTTTCTAAGTCATTTTTATAGAATAAGGGGTGTTTCTTTACTACTTGTGGCAGGTTTATGGGTTTTCTCTGGTGAAGAAGAACCTCCTCACTGTCCTCAACATCAGGCTAGGAAGCAGATAGTTAAAGGTTAATACCATTACTAGTGGCACAAAGTCCTGAAATGTAAACCTTGGAGGCCCGCATACTGTGCTTAGACAGCTACCTGATATACTTGATGAAGATGATGGTGTTGGTGGGAGCACCCTAGGTTTCAACAGCTTCACATGGTTTTTGTGCACCGATATACTCTTCTCTGTCCCTTACCTTTTGAAGAAATCTTAGGAGCAAAATGATCCAGAACTTGAATTATGAAATCTTTAAAGGCAATATGCAAGTTTTATAACTGTGAAGAGAAAGTTGCTTCAGGAAGGAAGAATTGAATATAATTGGATTGCACATGAGAGAAAGGGAGGCAAACCATTTCTGGGCTGTCAGTTTCTGCTTGTAATTTTTCACAGTGATCTTTGAGTAGTGCCTGGATATTTGTTCATTCCCTGTATTTCCCTTGCAGGTGGTCCATTTTGTTTTCCATTATGATATTCATCTCAGGGACCTAATGATTAATGCCAATAAATTCTGTTCAGTTCATCAGAAGCAAGAGATGGAGCACAGGAAGCTCGGCTGTTAAACCTAGTGCAGATATACTGTGTTATAGATCTGCGGTAGTGATGTCAGATGGAATGTGTTTACTTGAACATGTTAGTGAAAGTCCTAAAGTGAACTGTGAAAACCTTCAGGCAGTGTGTCAGAGAGAGAGTATAGCAAGAGTCAGAACTTCTGAAGATCAACTTTCCTTGCTAATCGTTTGTGATTCAGTTTATTCAAACCAGCATGTACTGTTCTGATTTTATTTTTCTCTGAAGCAAAGTTTCAAAATATTTACTGATAAGGAACTAGTATGAGTGAAAACTCAGAGCAGTGGTCTAATTTTTAAGTAATGAGGTTGAAGGGCATGCATGGTCGCTCAGATAGTTCCCATCATGAGGTGGAGAAGAAGCTTTCTTGTTAAGTATGTATAGTACATATAGCAATTTGTTGATATTATTGCATTACCATAATGCAGTAGGTTGATAGGTTGATAAAACTCATACACTTCACAAAGATTAGGAGGCCTGATTTGTCCTGACAAATGAGAGCTTTCTTCAGGAAAGGCATTTTTTGGGGGGTTTTGTTTTTTTGTTTCTTCTTTCTTTCTTTCTTTCTTTCTTTCTTTCTTTCTTTCTTTCTTTCTTTCTTTCTTTCTTTCTTTCTTTCTTTCAAGCTGATGAAACACATCTGGAGACCAGCCATAGAGAAAAGGAGACCCTGTGGCTAGGTTTAAAATGTTCAAACCATTTTTTATCTTTTCACTGGAAAAGCCCCATTCCAATGAAAAAAAATACATTGAGCTTTAAAAAACTTTGCCTGCTGGGTGGTATCCCTACTGATGAATGAACATGGCATTTGATGCATTAAAAATATATTTTAGTTGGGAGAAAAGCCTTCAAAACAAAGTTTTCTGCTTCGCTAAGTAATGTGATCCTCATTAAGAAGGGATCTATTCAACCCTCCATCCCTCTGGGGATATTTACAAGGTTTTCATAATAATCAAACAGTAAGTTTTTACTTGAATAGAGGACATTCTACTCAGAAAATAATGAATTATCTAAAATTTTGTAGCCTGTAGTCTTTTTTGCCATCTTTTATTCTTTTGTTAAAATTTGTGTCATCCAATTCAATGCAACAAATATTGATTGGTACCCATTAGTTGCAGAAGTTCACAGCTGCTTGCTGAGAAAGATAAAGATAAACAGGGAATGAGGACGCTTATTCGGATGCTTTTGTCTGGAGTTCATTGTGAGAAATATTGTAATGCCTTTTCGTACAATCATTTTCTGAACTACTGAAACAATAAAAGCAGTCGAGAGACACGCTATCATAAACCAGTTCTTCCTTATCTACAGCTTCCCTTTCTGTGGTTTAAGTTATCCATGGTCAACCATTGTCTGAAAACATTGCACAGAAAATTCCAGAATAACCATTCATAAGCTCAAAGGCACTATGGCTGAATACCGTGAAGAAACTGATACTTGACTTACTACTTCCACGAGCCACATTGACTGTCTGTTCAGCACAACCATGCTGTGTATACTTCCTTACAATGAGTCATTTTATGGCTGTCCTGTTCTGAGATGGGCTGTCTGGTTCTGTAATGCTCTTGTACAGGATTCAGTACCAGAAACATTCATTGGTGAGGGAATGTATTCTGTGTGAATAAGAGGGGACTACTATGGAGGTGT